GCCAATCGCTCCGTCGCCGCCGATGCTCCTGCTGCACGCCCCCCGTCAGGAGGAGGGTGCCCCCTGCCACCTAGGGGCAGGTACCCAATTATCTACTTCCTTGCGCTTTCGAACCGCTGGGTGGGCGGGAACTGGGACACGGGCCGCGGTGGGTCTCGAACAGCCTTAAGGGCTGTTCACTGATGTTACAGCAGGCGTTTTACTGCCTGCGCCACCGCTCCCTTATCTAATTGTTTTCTATATTTTGTAAACCACCTGGAGTCTCAGTGAGAAACGCAGGGTAGAAATGAAGTATTAATGAACAAAGAGCTGTCACTGCTAGGAGAACTGTAATAGATGTATTAGCTAAACTTCCACTCTTCAGACGAAAAAAATTAAATATATGATTTAAATCACAAACCCTAGGATATATTTCTCTTAAGGGTCCACTAAAACTAACTTGCTTCTCTTACAGGAATAAGATTTTCTGATTGACAGCTTCCTGGACTCCTTTAGTACTTCTTCAACAGGCGGAGAAGGAGCTTGTCCATAGAAGATCTGTTCAGTTTATCCCATTGACTTTGTCTAGGCACTGCGTCAAAGGTTGCTCTAATATCCATGAAGGCAACAGCTAACATGCCATCTCTTAAATTGGTGTACTTATCCACAATAAACTGGAGAGTATGGCATTGGTCAACTATGCTACCGCCTCTACAGAATCCAGCTTGCTCTCAACTCAATATGGCTTCATCTTCCATCCAAAGTAGCTTCTTAGGAAGCAGAGAAGTATGTAGTTTGCCCACCACTGATAGTAAACTTATGGGCTGGTAACTGTTTGGGTCAGTTGGATTGCCTTTTTTGTACATGGGAACTATTATTGCACGGCGCCAAAAGGTAAGCATAATCCCTGTCTCATTGATTTGTGTGAATATTGGTGCCAATATCTTCGCCCACCAATCAGCGTTCACGTTAAACAGCTCCAACAGTATCAGAAGAGTTGCATTTATACCCTTGCCCTTTACTTGGAGTCTCAGAGCAGCTTACAATCTCTTTCCTAATTTCTGATGCTGTGATAGGGGGCCATTTCTCAACCATTTGGGCAAGGGTATTATTGGTGTATGAAGTCGCAAATAAGGCCTTAAAATGTGCCTCCCAACAATTAGCAGAAATATAACAAAGAAGCGGAGATCTGGTATTTAGTTCGTTTGCAATTATATCCCAAAAGGTATCTTTCTGTTTGGAAACCCCGATTAAACGTTTCCAGTAGGAAATTAAAGCTGCTCTTTTTTTGCTTTTAATGAGCATTCTGAACTCACATTTCAACAAACAACTCAATTTCAGTATGCCTCTGTCATTATATAGTTTGAATTGTTGGTGCATTTAGAGAATTGCCCTTTTAAGTGCCCCACAATCAGTATCAAACCAATTGTCTTGCCTGTCCTGGCCAAAGTCCCTGGTCAGTCTGTAGGATGTATACAACGGCTTGGAAATTTTTTATCAATTCGCTCATTATACCTAGAGGTTCTTCTCCAAGGAAGAATGAATGGAGATTTTAGCCTTGAACTGACAGGCTTTAGGATAGTTTTTTAGACCCTTTACTTCCTTTGTAATATAATTATTCCAATACACTGGCCTAAGTTTATTATGATTTTGGCTCAACTGAAGAGGGATGGCAGAATGAAGAAAATTACATTGTAGAGTGTTTAATTATAACTGCAGAGGTAAATGATCGCCACCAGTGTTCCCTCTAAGCTGAGTTAGTGTGAGCTAGCTCATATTTTTTTAGCCTCCAGCTCACACATTTTTTTCATAGCTCAGGAAGGGGTGGCTCCAGAGCAAACTAATTTATGCAGCAGCCAAATCAGCTGCTCACAACTTTAATGCCAGTAGCTCACAAAGTAGAATTTTTGCTCACAAGACTCCACAGCTTAGAGGGAATATTGAATTCGCCACCCATGTATTCTGTTGTTTCCAGTGAGTCAGTCACATTGAACATGTTAGGCGATACTATAAAGTAATTGGTGACACTGGCTCCACACTGATTAATACATGTAAAGTCTCCCTCGCTATCAACCCTCAGGAAGCTATTACCAATTAGGAGCCCACTGTTAATAATTAGAGAGGCTAGCCTTTTTCCAGCACTGACCTTAATGTCTTTAGATTTTCTGGGCTCCACACAAAAGTTATTGATTGACTGGTCTTTAAAGCTTTTAAGGCAACCTTATGCAAACCCAGCTGGAGTGTGGCAAGGCAAGGAAGGGGTTAAGAGAGCAACAAGCCTCTGAGAAGGGCAGGGTGGAGCTGGGCTTGACCAGCATGGGCAGAGCCCCAGGGATAAAAAGGGCAATGTCAGAAGAGATCAGGAATGCAAGCTGGCTGAGCAAAGCTGAGGAGGCGCAAAGAAGCAAGAAAGAGGAACCTAAAGGAGGAGCTGGAGCCTTGGGGAAGGTACAGCTACCAATCTGGGATAGGCCTGGTTGAACTGCCCCAAGGCAGAGGCACAGCTCAGCCCCCTAAACTTTAAAAGGCAGAAATGGGCGGGTAAAGGAACTGTGATTGTGTGGAAGCCTGTGTGGACTTTGCTGCATCCAGTAAAGAGTCAGATATGGAACACCTTTGCGTCTGGAGAGCCTCTGCTGCATATGGAAGTCCATTATGATTTCCCACTGCTCCCGGGGGGGGGGGGAAGCAAAGACCCCCCCCTCCCCACAGTTACCAAGGGGGACTGCACAGTGACCACAGAAATGAATTTATGTATTTATTTACATTTGTTTGTGTATGTGTTAACTCACTCAACCCTCTAATTTCACTGACATGCTCAGGGTGAGAAACTGAAGGCTGCAACCTAGCCGAAGGGAGTAGTGGCGAAACATAGGGAAGATCTTAACTTAGATGAGTAATTGTGTATTTATGACATTTTTAAACAGCAAGCCATTTATCTCTGATATTCAAAGATAAATGGGCTGCAGCATTCCATGCAAACATAGTGGGAAATGTGGATAATGCCATGTGATATATTACAATGAGATCCCACTGGAGAAATAAGCAGGGTATGACTGTACATCTAATTTAATAAAATAATAAATACCCTTCAGTAAATTGCCAAACGGTGTCACACAAAACTCACAAAACCTCTTGTTGATTGCTATTTCATAAGGTAGATTTTTCAGGATTACTGTATATGACGTTTTATTATGCACTGGTTACAAAACAGAAAGACGTCACCTGGTTTTTTTACCTGGCTTTCTTGAGCTCTCTGCAGTTCCTTTAGCTTGTCCAATGCCATCTGCTGCTCTTGCTTTGTCTCGCTTGCTCCTTGTTCTACTGTGTTCTCCTGATCCCTGAGGAATCTGAGGATTGACTGCAGTTGTTCCCATTCCCTTTTTATTTGGGCCTCTTTTTCCCTCTCTATCTCCAAGGCACGGATAATGTCCTGCTTTTGATTTTGCAGAGATGCCTGTGTAATCTGTAAACTGCTGAAGAGGTCCTGTTCTCGCTCAGGTTCTTCGCATATCTGCTTCCTGTCCATTTGTTTCTTGGAGTCAAGAGCTTGCTGTTGTGTCTTCTCAATTATGGCTGCCAGTTCCCTAGCATGGGACCTCTCTATAGTCAACTGAGCTTGCAATTCCTGCAATGAATCTTGATGCTTACAAGACCCACATTCATTTACCCTCCTGCTCAGCTGCTCCGTTAAAACACGCTCATGGTTCAAAGCACTTAAAAGCTCTAAACAGCGGCTCTTCTCAGCATCTATATTCTTCTGCAATTCCAATGACTTAGTCTGTTCTTGGGACAGCAAGGCCTCACAGCGAGAATGCTCAATTTGAAGTTCTTTATGAAGATTGCTGTTTGCGGCCTGCTTGTGCTCTAATGCCACAGACAACCGGTTGGTTTGAATGCGCTGTAGCTCCAAGGCAGCCTGCAACTCCTGTTCAACAGAATGAGAAATTCACTGGCATTACGCCTGTGGGTATATTAAGAAAACCATCAAGGCAACAAGCTGATTTACAATTTAGTTATTACCAGGGGTCATTTCGTAGAAAAAGAGGTGCAGGAGCTCATTAGCATAACTCATTAGCATAACTTATTTGCATATGCCACACCCCCTGACTTCACCAGAAGTGTGTCAGAAGGCAACACCCACTGCTCAGGCTCCACTGGACTGTTTTGGATTGCTAGCTATGGGGGACGGGGATGCAGATCCTTGTGTTCCTCGTGGCCCGGGGCTGCTGGGAGCAGTGGGCGGGGCTTGTTGCATGTGCCCGCTCCCTGGGCTCTTTACTGCCGGAGCTCCACTCCTGTGCGCTCCTGCAGGAAATGACCCCTGGTTATTACAATCTAGGCATAAGGCGTTGTAGGAGGGTAACATCAGGTGAGAAATCCAGCTTATAAATTAAATCTGAGAAGCACTTTTTGAACTACAAATCAATAGTTTGATAATTAATCCTAGATTTATTTATTTTTACACAAACCTGGATTTACTGCGGCATGCCCATTTTGTGCAGTGTTAGGTGCCAGGTAAATCAGTAACTCCTCTACCTCCCAAATGTATCAACGTTGCCTAACTTGGCCAAGGCATTCAATAAACTTCTAGGTTGTACCTGATTACTGTTAAGCTTCCAAACAGTGAGCATCAGCTGGTTAGAATCCACTTGCTCTCTGCTATCTACTCCTCAATATAGGCTCTCTTGTCCCCCAGAGATTTGCCTGTCACCTCTGACGGGTCATTGAGCATGGGTATTCAAAGGAGAAGCCTCCTGGGCAAACACACAGAACATAGCCACTGGCCCAGGAGTCTGAAAAAAACCCTGCACTGAAGTATTTGCAAAGCCACTGTAAATCCATGGCATGTGCTTATGGAACTTGAATGTATCCATGGCATGGAAATCAGCAGTACTCTGGTCTTATGAGGTCAACCTGGCACTGTTACCCATCTGATGTGCTTCGGCAGCACATATACTAAAATTGGAACGATACAGAGAAGATTAGCATTTCCACCTGCCCATGAAAAGAAGAAGAAGAGATTGGATTTATACCCCGCCCTTCACTTGGAGTCTCAGAGCGGCTTACAAACTCCTTTCCCTTCTTCTCCCCACAACAGACACCTTGTGAGGTGGGTGGGGCTGAGAGAGCTCTGACACAAACTGCTCTTTTTCAAGGACAGCTGTGCCAGAGCTTGTGACTGACCCAAGGTCACACCACCAGGTGCAAGTGGAGGAGTGGGGAATCAAACCCGGTTCTCCCAGATTAGAGTCCATGCACTTAACCACTACACCAAACTGGTTCTTCTATTTGACCATGTCTGACAATATGCCTGGGTGCGTTCGTTCAGCTCCAAAGTACAATAGCACCAAAAATCTCAAAAAATTATTTTAAAAAACCTTTCCCTTTTATGTTTTTCGCCCTTTCATAACAGCACTCTGTAACAATACTAAAAATACAATACAACAGCAAGAGAATACACTTAACAGGAAGAAACAAATTTTTATCCTTTGCAGTTCCAAGGTCATGTACATAGCACCACCAGCATGCACATACTTACACAAGAAGCCAAAAGAGAACTCTCGGGAAATGGCAAATATTTTTCTGAGCTTATTAATGCTCAGCCTACTTTTCCATGAGTAGAAGAGAGTTCGTGCACTCTAATTTTAACCCATTCGCTGATACAAAAATTTCATTAAAGAAAATGCTAGATCAATCGGTGTGCATTTATTTTTCACTGTTTATTCTGACTGATGAGATTTGGGTTTCCTCAGTGCAAGATTTGAATAAGCAGAAGAAAGCAATACAAAAGCCTCAGCACTCTTGGAGGTCTACTATTTTCATACAACATCTTACCTCGAATACTTTTGATTTTTCATTCTCCTTTATTTTCTGCTGCTGCTGTTGTTCATCTATCATAGCCTGTAGTTCTTTTTCTTTAAGGCGTGCATTCTGCAAGTCTTGAAGTACAGATGTCATGCTTTTCTCTTTGCTTTCTAGTGCAGAACTGAAACATATAAAGGTTATACATCTCACCTGTGAACTATTGGTGCTAGCGACAACCCTGGTGTGAGAGCTGTGAGCTAAGTTACTGAGAATCTTTAGAGTGATGTTATCATGTTTTTGGATTACTACTATGCTATAGTAGTGTGTGTGTATGTATGTATGTATGTGTGTATGTGTGTGTAGATAGATAGATAGATAGATTGATAGATAGATGATAGATAGATGATAGATAGATGATAGTATAGTATAGTATAGTATAGTATAGTATAGTATAGTATAGTATAGTATAGTATAGTATAGTATAGTAGTATATATAAGGTGAATGCATGAACCTACCCCTCATACTGCCGAGGAGTGAACATTTAGACTGACCAGAATGAACGCACCTAACAAAGGATGAGATGGTTAGACAGTGTCATAGATGCAACGAACATGAAACTGAGCAAACTTCAAAGGATGGCGGAAGACAGGAGGGCCTGGCGGGAGCTGGTCCATGGGGTCGCGAAGAGTCGGACTCGACTGTGCGACTGAACAACAACATGCTATACTTGGTGCTTTTCAATGGAGCATATTGGATTATGGCTACCAAGTTTTTACTAGTAATGGGCATGAACTGACTCAGGAATGAAAGTTTGTGACCAATTTGGGGCAGCTTGTGGTTCGCAAACACAGAAGAGCCGCCACAAATTTCCACCAACTTTAAGGTGGTTCATGAAGAGCAGAAAGTAGGGGTTTAAATGGCGCTGAGCAATTTAAAGCCCTGCATTCTGCTCCCCACCACTTTTCGCAGGGAGCAGTAAATTCAAGAACCAACCTCCGATTTCATATTGGTTTGGCCATGAACCAAAACGAACCACAAAAAAACCCGAACCCATCCCTATTTTTACTGTTTTATTTCTGGTGCCTTTGGTACTGATTGGTTTTTCCTTTTTATTATTACTGATTTTATTGTAGAATTTTACTTATCCTCTGTTGAAAAGTGGTATGGGTACTCTTTGAAGGAGAAAAGCTGGGCATGAATCATCCAAACAATAAAAAGACAGCAAAGAACCACCTCACAGTAAACATTTTCTTACGAAAATGTAGCAGAAGATCTTTCAAAACACAAACTGGTTACACAGAATACACCGCAAAGCTCTTACCTGTATTTGATTACTTCCTTTTGGAGATCCTGAAAAGCCTTTTGCAGCTTCGCATTTGTTTTCTTGCTTTCAGAGAGATCCAGTTTCAAGTTCATTACTGCAATGTCTTCCTGTTTCAGTAGCTTGTGCATTTCAGAGGCTTTTTCTTGCTCACTTTTTAGAGAAGTCTGCAAGTCACTAGCAAGTGATTTCTCCTGCTGAAGTTTATATTCTAGTAGTTCAACTGAAAAAAGTTTTCAAAAAGTTAAAAAACTCTATACAAAATTCCAATTAACCTTTTTAGATCACCAAGAATTGACTGGAGACAAGCTCAAGAAAAATGGAAGGGGGGCTAGTGATCCCTAACCTGCTTTATTATTATCATTATGCTGCAAAACTACTTTGGTTAGCAGATTAGTTTTGTGGTCAGTCAGATCCAGTAGTGCAATCGGCAGTAACAGTTCCTTTAAAAAAATTCAAAAGACAAAGTTTTTTAGTCAAAAATTATATATTATAGTTTAATCTAGGGTAAATTGTGACAAACTACTCCTCCAAACATCAGTATTAAATGAGCTTGCCTCTAAAAACAGGCCGTTCCTGGTTTCAGTGTAAACAATGCACACATGCTGGTTTAGATCACTATTATGATTTATTTAAAGATACGCAGTGTTGTTTTAGGAAGTTATAAATTAACAGAGTAAGAATAGCATTCCTCCGTTTCAGTATTTGCAAATGAGAGGTTTTATTATTGAAAATTACATGAGAATACTGGGGAGTGAGCTGAATTTGAATCTTGTCTTTCACAAGGAAATTTAGGCGCCGTTATACCTTTTCTGTTAGAGGACGATCGTAAGGAGAACCCAAGTTGTGCAATCATGTCAATCTTAACTAAGGGACGGGGCAAATTTGTTCTGAATAAGGTGAACGCATGAACCTACCCCTCATAACTGCCGAGGAGTGAACATTTAGACTGACCAGAATGAACGCACCTAATAGGCTTTAGAAAGATAACAGATAGGCATAGAAAGGAAGAGATTTTGGAGGTGGAATACCAAAAAATTGGGATGAACAGATACAGTATGATCTAAAGGCAGAGTTTTGGTGATCACTTAATTTTACACGATTTCTCACCAAAGCAAATTCTACATGAAAGCCCAGGACCTGGACAGCCAACATTTCTCAAAAACAGTCTTAAACAGCATTGACCTATAAGAGTCTTCTTTCAAGAGTGCCAGATAGCCCATGGTTCTGTGATCAACCAAATGCTGAGGACAAGACCTGGTTCCTATGGGTGGGGTGACCGTGAGAGGGGTGGCTCCTGTGTGGCGGTCCCAGACTGCTTTGATGTTGGAGATGAGTATTTGGTGGAAGACGTCTTCATCTTAGGCTGACAGGTTGGCTCGATGGAAAGGGAACACTTTTTCCACAGTTCTGATGCCTGAGACGAATGGTGATGTTTGTGAAATCATGGTTTCCAAGTTTTGGGCTTAAATTGCCGATTAGTGGCAGGTTGGGAGACATCTAGGTTCTGGGCTCTCTTTCTACTGTCATCAACCGAGGTTAGTGTCTCATCTGTAGAAGCATGGAAGAGCCCCTCCCCGTCAAATGGCAAATAATTCAACTTTAGCCTTTATGTCTCGTTGGAGTGATGTAAAATGCAACCAGGCATGATAACGAAGAGCTAAAGAAGTGGCCAGGATCCAAGAAAGACATGTAACCGTATGGCGGACTGTACTGATCTGTTGCTTGGAGATCCTACAGATCTTCTGGGTTCATGGAGCAAGTGTCACTTGAGATTCAACAGGCAGTTGAAAGGTGACTTTGGGTTGCAAGATGAAAGGTGTAAGCGGAGAAGTAGCATAAACAGGTTTGTATCTCGGACACCATTGAAGTGAGACAGCAGACTTTTTTAGCCAGGGTATCGATTTTCCTACCCTTGCAGTCAGGAGGACTCAGATAGCAAACCTGTTTGGATCTAGTAGATGAGTGTACTATGATGGAGTTCGGTTGAGGCTGGGAGAGTAGGAATTTGGCATCCGTAGACTGTACCTTGTACATCGCCTCATAGCGTTTGGCAACTGGTGGGGTTGATGCTGGATTCTTCCAAGCCTCCTTAAAGCCTTCAAGATGGACTGGCAACATAAACAAAACAGCAGCAGGTGGCAGATCACATTGGAGCAATTTATGAACGAGGTCAGTTGCCTTAGGGGTATTAGAGGTCAATTCGATTTGCAGGGTGGTTGCCATCCATTCAAGGAACTCAAGGAAAGATTTAGAACCTTCCAACAGAGACAGCACACCCAAGAGGCTGACATCAGGGTTTTTTTTGGGGGGGGGACGTGCATCGTGTCTTCAGCACCCAAGTCCGAACTATTGGGGCTGACATCTGACGGCTCCAGCGGTCACTTGCGCCCCCTCTTCAAAGGTGAAGAGATCCAGAAGGGAAATCTCAGCCGGCAGATGGTGACTCGTCGTTACTGGTACCGATGTGGAGCCTGAAAGATCAGGCAAGGGATGCACTGTAGAATCAACCACCGGAGCCTCACGGTCTCAAGGCGCAGGATGGCCAGAGTAGCAACCAGAACCCGAGCGCCAATGCAGGGAGGCATAACACACACTATTGGAGCAGGAACGGATTGGCACATCAAGCAGATGGAGTCGTGGTCTTTAGACCAGTAATAACAAGTGGTGCGACCGTTGTTGACTTTGGGGTCAGTGTCGATTTTGAGTGTTTAGAGGTCTTTGATTTTGCACTTAAAGTAGTCGAACCTGATACCCTCCTGGCAGACTTATTGGGCGCGGTCAAAGCCGAGGAGGCTGAACCAGCAGGAAGAACCGAATCTTCCCTCTGTAACGGTGGGGGAGGCAGAGTTGCCGAGCTCTGTGTGGTCTGCGCCATTGAAGGGCAAAGGGAACTTTCCAGGAGAGAAGTACGGAGATGGACTGCCCGATTTTTTCATGCCTGCTTGGTGAATTTCGAGCAATGGGCAAAGGTATTGATATGATGGCCTTCTTCCAAATACGAAAGGCAAAGATTGTGTCCATAGCTAGAGAGAATTTCGTCTTTACAGCCTCAACAGTTTTTGAAGGAAACAGCCCATTCCATATGCTGCCAGTCCAAGGGAGGAGAAAGGGGTGGAAACAGAGGGTGAAGAAAACAGTTTGAAGGGAAAAAATTATTTGTTTGTTCTGTAGGAGAAAGTAAAAGAAAAAAACCAATGATCTAAGAAGACAAGGGAGAACAAATGGGAGGAAAGTGTTGAAGGTCAAAGAGACTAAGAGATGAGGTGCGAACAGCATGGCGGAGAAGAAGGAACTGAGTGAGAGGTGGCTTTTCCCACATCTCCAGGCATGTGCAGTTGATGGCTGCTCCCCAGATCTGAGGAGAAAACCCACCAAAAATGTGTTGGAGAAACTCTAGAAATTTCTGAGGTCGGGTTCTGCGCAGGCACTTTACCCCAACTGTGGAACTGCACAGAGACCACAAAGAAGATTATATGTATTCTAGTGACTTCTCCAGTTCTGTATTAGTAAAGGAATATCAAAAAGTTTTAATACTATGTATATTCATTTTCTTCTGCAAGTGATCTCAGCTACCAACAATATCTCTCCTTATATATAATTGTGTTTTTGGGTGGCACTTTTCCAGAACATTCCACATGCTCCCAAATCAGTTGGCTCCCTGATGTGTCAATCACAAGGTGCCTCTACCCATTGGTGCCTGCGTTGCCTTAGTCCCGCCCACCGAACCGGTGGCCAGCATCTCGGCCTCAGTATGCTGGGAGGCGATGGACAGGCCAGACGCTCCAGTGGGCAGAGGGTCCTGAGGCCAAGCCCAATCATGGCAGCGCTGCAGCGGTTGTCGTCGGCCGTGACCAGCTGCAGGTAGCTGGGTGGGTGGCGAGCAGACGGGCACTGGTGCCATGGAGGACAAGGTGGCCAACAACGACGGCGAGGCCGTGATCCAAGAGCTACTCTACCCCTATTACTTTTAATATTTTGACGGCCTTGGCAGCAAATACCAGGATACTTGCTAAACATATCACATTTGACATCTAGATTAAAGTCCAGTAGCACCTTAGAAATCAACAAGATTTTCAGGGTACATATTTTCGAGAATCAAAGCTCCCTACATCAACTTTGACTCTTTTTTTTTTTTTAAGTGCTCCTAAAATGAAAACTGGTGACAGCCTTCCATACTTGTTTTACATTTTTCAGTCAAATGATGCAATGAATTAAGTAGTAAAGAACATTTGGTAAACTTCCACAAGGTATTACCTTGTCTTCGAAGCTGGTGTTCTTGTTTGCTTCCATGATTCTCTGCGTTAATAAGTGTCTCTTGGAGTTGCTGCAGCTTTTCCTGGTTTTGAAGATGCATCAGTCGCAACTGAGCTTGAAGGTCTTGTATTTCTGTAAGCAAGCTGTTTCTGTCTGAAGACAAAAGGTGCTCCAGAACTACCTTTTGCTGCCGTTCCTGAAACGAAAGCGAGCACATTTCAGATCTTAAAATGTACTTTCAAAAGTTCATATGTATTGTTTTATTTAAAGGCAACGAAGTTTGAGAAGCTTACAAGGTAAGATTTACATCTTAACATGAAAGGCAGAGAACCTCTCAAATAAGGGTCAGGAGTAGGGCAAACCTTGAACTCATCTGTTTTATAGTCCAGAATAGGAAAACATTCCAAAAAATCTTAAAATGAAAGAAGATACACAGTGTCTTGTCAGAACCACTTAGATTTATAAGGAGAATATGACTGGCATACCTGCTGTTCTGCTATATGCTCTAGCTTTTCTACCAATGATCCTTCGTCTCCAGATCCAGAATTGCAAAAATGTGACTGAAAGTAGCTTTGCAACATGTTTCGCTCCTTTTCTAACACGCACTGGACGGCCTGAAGTAGTTCTCCTCTCCAGTCAAAAAAAGCAGACGAATAATCCTTTGGGGGGGGAAAAAACACAAGCCCTACTGCATCTGAATTCTGCTATGTTCATGTTTTCTCATCAGATATGGAGACCTTACACTCCATTCTACATTGTTGCAGCTATCTCCATACATCCTGTCCAAAATACAGTCCTCTTTCACTCCCTGAACCATTAAAGAGACGGCCAGAGAAACCAGCTTGCTAGCATACCTATACATACAAACACATCCATCCAACAGATGCATCTGAACAAGAAATCATCAAGGATTCTCTGACAAGAACCACTGAGGCATACAGTAGTGTTTCCCTTTTATGATACAACTCCTCGTATCTACATTCTGTGCTTATCAGTGTTGTCATGGCTGTCTGCCCAACCACTGTGCTTGATTACGGAGAGCCAAGCAGTGTCAAAGGCCCCTAACTGCCTCTTCAACTCATCTTCTCAGATCTTGCTGCTTCTGCAGGATCTGGGAGGCAAAGACTTCAATCCATAAACTAATACATCTTAAGTAAAACTATATGACAAATGTAATATCCACAGGCTATGGAATTACATTTTTTTAAAAAAGTGATTATAATGTGCCCTTATTTGAACAGTGAAGTGTAAGTCACCAGAAGCATCTCTGGGTGGAGAGTTATTTAATGTTGTGTCTCTATACCTTGCCTTCTTTATCTGGCATTGTGCTGAGGTAATGCTTCAGTGACTGGACTGCATCGAGCAAGGTTCGGCTCTCTTTCCGCAATCCCTCCATCAGGGGTGCCTGCTGAAAACTGAACATTTTTTTCCTCCTTAACAGGCAGTATTTTTTCTGACAGAACCAGTATTTTGCAGCTTTCTTCATCTACAATCTTCAGCATGTTCTGCAAGAGTGCGAAAAATGTTTTTAGTCAATTCACCAAGAAACCCACCCTCAGTTTTGGTGTCTTCCCTGAAAACCTTACAAAATCAATCACAACGCTGTCCACAAAAATGCAATACACTGTATACATTGCATCGCCATCTATCCAGCTGATGGAGGCGACAGAAAATTGTCGCCATTTTAGCTAATTTTAATAATTTTAAATTTGTTGATTATATTGTAGGTGGTACATATCGTCTTTAAAAACTGCTGTAGTGTAGTAGTTAGACTAAGACGAGGACACCTCGGTTCAAATCCCCACTGAAGTATGAAACACCTTGGTTTAGTTCATTTTTCTCAGCCTGACCCGCCTCACAGTGTTGTTGCAAGGATGCTATGGAGAATGGGACAACCATGTAAGCTGTCCTGATATCCTTAGTAGAAGGGCAAGATTTTTAAAAATACACAAGTTTTACCCAGTTTTAAATTCATATTTTTCATTGGTTAGAGTAACTAAATACATCTTCTTCTTTTGGACACTGCTGGGGGAAAAAGGAATGTTTAATTTAAAATAATGATTCCTTGTGATTTAAATGAGTGGGTTAAATCAAATCAGTGATTTATATTCTCTTGATTTAATCAACGTTCTCTATATTAGATCTTGCAGTAAGGAATTCAGTAGTCTTTCAGCTGTACACTACCTTTAACTGATGTGAAAACAATTCTTTGCCTTGTATTCCTGGTTCGGTGGCCCCTGGAACAATTCTGAGACATTGCGTAACACTGCCATCTTGGAGCACAGTGGTTTCCGCATTTTCATTATTACACTGAAGTACCAAATCTGAACCAGTACCTGAAAAACAAAGCGGTGACTACATTAAAACTATGGACAGGGAACTAGCAGGACCTTGAAATGGCATTTCCTTCTGTGGGGGGGTGGGGAGGAACCAGTGTCCTGCCAGTGGTTCTCAGGCTGCAGGTCAGGATGTGAAAGTGGACTGCAGCTCTTTCACAGGTGGTTCAGGAGACCAGGACGGAGGAGGCAGCTCCACTGGGAAACGCCATGAATATAGCAGTTGTTCAGTAATGCTCTCTCTCTCTCTCTTAAAAATGCCAAAGATTGGGGGTGGGGGGAGGAATCATAAACTTTCTGTGTTCACTGATGTGAGATTCCTGCAATTTATGTCAGGGAAGGGGAAAGCAGCATGGAGTTACTTTGCAAGTGGGTCCTGAAAAGAACAATTAACTGATTTTAAAAAGTGTGAAAAGTGCTGCCCTAAGACTATGGGAGTGATGCAGCCCTCATTCCATAGCACTATGAGTGGCCAGTTTATAGGACTGCTAAATTATGGCAGTGGGGGGGAACACTCAAATTGTGGTTGCTAAATTTACGTCCTGCAAGAGATTACAATACGTGCCATACAGTAGGGAAGAGAGTCAAACATTGGGTAGGAGGAAATGGTGAAACGATGTGGAAGTGACAGCTCAGGAGCTAGCCTGCACAAAGTTTGTATAAGTTAGAAAGCCTCCTTCGCGTGAGAGAAGATGGGGAATTGAGATGCTGAAGGTGGAACTGTAGGTTACCTGTATGGAATTCCTTAGTTTGTTTGAAATGGTTTAGATAACAACCCCAACAATTTTAAGTAACTTTAAGAGTTGGACTACCTAGACAATAGACTGAGATTTAGGCAGAGGATGGACACTAAACATGTTTAATCTTAACTGCAGATATTGAAACGTCTTAATCAGTGAACAGCAAACAACGTCATGGCTCAAAACATCAGTCTAATTCAGAAATTCCTAAATTATGAGTGAACTAGAAATTAGGCCCGTTGTGGAAATAAATACAACGGGATCTAGAAAGAGGCTCTGGGAGAGTGCTCTGGCTTTGGGCAAACAGTGTCAGTCTGCTTTTAAAACATGAACCTGGGACCTGCACACCACCAGAATACAGCAGATTCCATATGCAACTGACATTCCAACTGCCTTGCGGGGGGGGGGAGTTTGAGGTGTGGAATGGAGTGAAGTCCAATCAGCTTCCATATGCAAAAGACCAAGTTGTCGCAGCAGTTGTGGTGTGGGCGGGACCCGGGCTTTGCCTTCTGATTGGTGGCGATATATGCTGAGGAGCAGTGCCATCAGCCATACACTAAGGGAGTGCATTTTAGAATTAGAACCTTGGCACCCACTATTCAATTATATATAAGAAGAAGAGATTTGCGAACCCATTAGAATGGAGGATGACTCCGGTGTTACTTCCCCCTGCTCACATCGCTACGATGGCTTTATAATGGCTTTAAGAAAACTCACGTTATGAGACTGTAGATCTTATGCATACCTTAGTGTTTAAGGTGAAACCAGGACCGTGGCTTCTGTTTTGGTGAGACAGACGACTGCAGTTCCCCTTCTGGAATTCAGCTCAAGCGTCTGACTGACAACCTCAGACAAACTGCGTAGCGTACAGTTCATCCGTAGTTAATACAGGGGTGTCGAACTCATTTTTTATGAGGGCCGGATCTGACATAAGTGGGACTTTGCTGGGCCAGGCCATGTGTGTCATAAAATGTAACGCCAGGTAGCGGACCCCCAGTGCATCAACAAGTTTTATTGGAGCAGGCAGAAAAGGCCACATTACCAAGAGGCAAAGAGACGGAACACTTTGCCGCAAGGGTGCTGGGACCAGGTGGGAAAAGACAAGCCTTTGCCTGGTCCTCCCATGTCCTTTACTTCAAACCGCCCCCTCTTCAAAACTCAAAAAGTTAACTTACTGCAGCCATAATCGGTGCTTGCACCTTCAAGTCTGGACATGGTTGAACTTAAATCATTTTGCAGTTCAGATGGCATCAATGTAAAGTTTTCAGCATCTCTTGCCTGTTCAGCAACAGATGTGCAAAAAAAGAAAAGAAAAGATCAGATACAAACAATGTGAATTATTCAACAATAAAAGGAAACTAGTACTCAGGGTTTGTTTCTTTTTTAAATTAGGGCTTAATTTTTCTTTATGAGAGTGAACAGCAGCCTGTCCTTGATGGGCTTCACTGTTCTTTTCTCACCTATCATACCAATTGTGAAGGCTTACCCTTATACACATTTCTTCTGAACTACAGGGAACAACTAGAAATTGGCCACGTTCCCACTGTGTTGAATATACTGAAAGAAAAGGCTGCAATCTATTCACACATGCGCTGCTCCAGTACTGTACTGAAGGACACTACTGAGGTCGTGACCCCAGTGCCGGTGGGAGGAAGCCCTTTTCACCTCATCCCAAGGGTGCCCACCAGAACACACCCCAAAAAATTTCCAGTTTGTAAGTGAACCGTTGCCAAACCAGTGCCCTGTGACCAGCGCTAACACTGGGTGGGCTGGTATCTAGTTATACTGAACCAACAAAGTGGGAGTGAAGGGCTGCTGCTTCCTCACGCCTCCCTGCCCTTTCAATCCTCAGCAGACCCACATCCTCTCCTGCATCCGGGGTGTGTTGGGGGGGGGGCTGTCGGTCTGCATGGCCTGAGATTGTAAGATTGGCCCTGACAAAAAGTTCATAACTGAACAGCAAGATCCTGCATTCAAGTACTACACTTCAATATTAGATTTGTTGTTGTTGTTGTTGTTGTTCAGTCGCACAGTTGAGTCCGACTCTTCGCGACCCCATGGACCAGATCACGCCAGGCCTTCCTGTCTTCCGCCGTCCTCTGAAGTTGGCTCAATTTCATGTGCATTGCATCTATGACACTTACGGCCCCATAAATATAAGACAGTGCTATCCTTTGCTTAGCTCAAATCAACACTTACTTCCAAAACTCTATGCTTTTGTTTCAGATTCCTGTAATCCTAGCCCTAATGCTTATTAGATGTCTTGATTTACACTGTGTAAGGACACCTTCAGTCTCTCGGTGAGAAAGTCAGACTGTAAATATAAGTAAACAAATAAATAAAATCAACCCTAATGTGACTTACATATAACTGGTACTGAAAGATGTTGCTGTGTAGTCCAGAATTACCTCATTGGCTGGAATTCATGATAAAGTGACAAAAAAGTGGCCAGTATGACACAATACCTATTATTATTCACTCTTCACTCATTTAGTTTCCATAGGAACCTACTGAAGGTACATGACTCAGCAATGTATCAACATGTCATTAGGGGATTTTACATATCTGAAAGGACCTGTTTAAAATAATCACTTACTGAAATGTTTTCCTGCCCACTGTTGTATTCAGGGTCCAAGAAGGTAGGTCCTGAGAATGCTGGGAACTGGAAGGGGGAGCTGTGTGCTGTTTCTTGATTGTACCTCAACAATCCAGAGGAGTCTGTTTGTATGACCGAGGACTCGGAACACAAGCTTTCAAAAGCTGCACTGTGCATGCCATCAATTTCTGAGAAGGGTGTTAGATGAATACTTGCTTGGAGTTCTATACTATTATTTTGTTTTCTCATAATTTCCGGGGAGTCCCACAAAGTTTTATCAATAACCATACTCTGGAAGCTTTCTGGTACTTGTGGAGTGAATTTCATGTTTTGTGAGAGACTGTTCAAGTTGTACGTCAAAGAATTTGGGGTCTGATTAAGGTGCAATGTCTGTTGACCGTGCGGTTTTAAATTTTGTTGTTCCTTTACAGTATTTGTTGTTTCTGCTTCCTCAATCAAAAGCATTGCTTCAAGATGTTTACCTTGAATATTAAGATTTTTGCTGGAGGTCTTTTGATCAGTAATTAGAACTTCTTTTTCCTGCAAAACAGTTCAAATGTTCAGTATCTTGCCTTAACCATACAATCGTAGAGCTGAAGGACCAACAATGGAAACACGTTTTACTAACATTTTTGTCCTTGTGAGAAGTCCCCTTGTAAATGGACTGAAGGAGAACACAGAAGAGTTCACAGCGCTCTCTACCACAACACATTCAGGTCATGTACCTTTCCTTGGCAGCTCACGTTCCAGTGGTGGCCAAGCAGTCCAGTTAAGTACTTCATGGCCCTCACTGACTACTGCTGTGTGTTCTGTGAATCTCTGGCAAACTTTTCCCATGCCATTTTGTAAGCATCTGAACAAGACACTGCAAGCCAAACTGAAATGTATGGAGCTGCCCGGTGGTGGTGGTGGGGAGGCAGGTTTGGATGTTTGCTCCTATCTTTTCCCCAAAAGAGAGATAACCGCAGTTTTGGAAAGGTGTTTTAAACTGCAAGTGAGATGAGAGGAAAGGTTTCAATACTCTTTCATAAAGCAACCCTTCCCTTGTCTTTAAAGTTGTCACCTGGAGCTTCTAATTAAAAACTGTCAAAGGATCCTAATCATGGATCTTTCACATTGTATCTTTCTTGGTCCTAAATATAATTCAGATACATTTGCTTGAAAACAGAATAAACACGCTTCTTACTAGAACACTGGGGGAAGCCGAGTGGTTTCTCCTTGCTAAATGCTTTTGTGGGTCATCTGAACTCACTGGAACTTCAAAGTGTCTTAAGATATGAGATTCAAGCTATATATGCTTCACTGACAGTAAATTTTCACAAACATCATGGGAATTCCCAGTCTTCTTCAGCCTTTTTCAAACACTGAAGTATGAAGTCCCTCCTTAAATCCCAACACTACCTTCCTACCCACTCCCAGATCCAGCATGAACGTTTCACCTTTACCTTCAAAACCCTCTATGATCTTGCCTCCCTCACTTTACTGTATTTCTGATACATTCAGGGATCATGATCTTCATTGCACCGGCTTCACCATACTCAGATCTCCTCATCCCTTCAAAGAATCCCCTTCTTATTTTGCTGTCCCTTATGGCTAGAACTGCCCCCCGCCCCCGAAGAGCAGCGTGATGCTACCCCCTTAATTCTTTGCTATGTCCTTTTTAGTCTTATATACTGCTTTGAGCAACAACAAAAAATACATGAAGGAAAAAAATTACAGCTGGCCATTATCAAAGCAGGAGGAGGGAGAGGCAAGACTTATTTACTTTAGAGTCTTTATTGGGCTTTTCTTTTAATTCATCACTTAACTAAATGTCTGATAGCACACCGTGTTGGTGTATGAGGAAAGAGTCATAAATGCGCGCGGTTTCTGGATCCAAGCTCACTCTGTCTTATGAGCCCCTTGTGTACAGTGGCTGATCATTTTTAGATCAAGCCAAGAGCACTGGGTGTGCTTCCATTCAGGAAGGCAGAATGCAGCACAGTTTAAAACTGCAGCTATGGATTGCTTGGGAGTGTGTTGTGGATCAGAAGCACTTACCACTAGCCATTCCCTGCACAAATGGTTTTCCTTAACCAACCTGAATTACATATCCTGTTTAATGCTGACCAGTATTGGGACATTAAAAACATTACGGGTGTTACATACCAGTTTACCACTATTAATTGTCACTGATGGCTTATCACTTAGTCCTTGCTCTTCTCTTCCTCCCTCTGTTTCTAGAGAAAGCTGGACGGCATCTTGTTCTGACACTGATTTATAAAGTGCAGTTTCTTTCTGATCATCATTTTGGTCCTCTTCCAAGGACCATTTCAACTGTAAGTGAAAAAGAGCTCTCTCAGACCGCAGTGCTTCCAGTTCTTCCATGGACTTCTCATTCTGGGACCTCAGTTCCACAGCAGCAGCTTTAAGTTCACTGATTTCACTCTGATAAGCGACCTCTTTGTCATGCAGGGTGGCTACCAAGACCCTGAGCTCATTTTCAAGCTGCACAACATTTTCTTTTTCTCGCAGTACTTCAGCTGCTTGCTCTGCCTTCTGCTCTGACGCAGCCTGGAGCTCCAATTCCCTTTCAGAAAATGCTGCTTCCCGATCTCTCAGTTTACCTTCAAGTTCCTGAATACAGGAAGTGGCAACAGTTATTTCAGAATCCCTCTGTGTTAAGCACACTTCCATGTCCTTGTAGTCTTCCTGCAGTTCTTTGTACTGTAGTTGTAAATCTGTTAGCTCTTTGAAGTACTGTCTAGAAGACTCCTGAATGTTCTTCAGGTTTTGGTCTAGATTTTTTATTTCTACGGTAAAATGAGATTCTTTTTCTTCAAGCAGCTGCTGCAAAGCTTCTCTGTCAGCCAGAACTACTTCCAGCTGATGGCAAAGTTGCTGCTGGTTGGACTGAAGCAGCAAACAGCTGGCTTCTCCATCTCTGTTCTCCAGATGATTCAATAATTCACTCTGCAATTCATTTTGAAGATTCTCTTCCTGCTCTTCTAGTACAAGGGTTTTAGAATGGTCTTGGCTGTCATCAGTTTCATCACAGATGGGTCCACGAAGTGCTAATTCTTTTTGAAGAGTCTCAATTACTCCATGCAGCTGTTCTATTTCTTCTGATTTATCCCTTGCCAATTGTTCCTGATCAGCACGAAGTTGTTCTATAACCAATTTCAGGTCCTCAATTTCAAACATTTGCTTTTCCAAAACCTGAAAACAAAAACACGTAAGACTTAGTTGCTATGAAAAACTATCAGCACCTGCAGACTTGCCATTTTGTTGTGCATTATTTGGAAGCTCTCTTTTATTTTATTTATTTGGAATATTTTAGGCTACGTTTTCTGTTAAAATTGTTCAAGACAAAAACACAAAGCAACACGTTGCCTAAAACAATAAATAAGGCAAAATGATGAATAAAACAGCAAAAATTAATTCATAGTAGTAGATAAAACATCATGTTTAAGCAATTATGGGGAAGGTCCATGGTTCAGTGCTAGAGCATCTGCTTTGCTTGCAGAAGGGCCAAGGTTCAAGCCCTGTTAACTCAATTAAAAAGGATTAGGTTGTAGGCTATGTGAAAGAACCTCACACTGGAAACCCGGATGAGTAGGCAATAACCTGAATACGATCAGAATATGATTATGTTTGCATGTAAAGGCGTAGAAGCCACACAACTGGCACTTAAGCCATGTAATATCTTTTATTAGGACCAGCTCAAAGACACATAAATGCACGCTTTTAAGTTCAGATAGACTCTGCAATTGTGGCAACAATTGAATCGATTCTGTGGATCTTTCCTTTTTTGCCTCCCCCCCCCCCCCCATTTTTGGATTTAGAAGCTGAATTGATCTCTCTGGTAATCAGGACTTTGTCTCTTCAGACGCTAAATCATCTCGGGTAAAGATAAACAAACCACTTTGTGTGGCGAAATTTCTGGCAGCTGTTGTTATTTATTTATGCTTTCAACTTGTATCCCGCTCAAACCCCGAGGGGTCTCTGAGCGGCTTACACAATTTCTGTATCCCTATCTATGGCCACATAGTCAGGGGTGGGGGCTGCCCTACTGGCACCCAGTGGTTTAATTGTTAAGTTATATGACAACTTTAGTAGTAATTTTTAGGCTCTCCTTTTGTGGAGCAAGGGTTTGCTGTTTATGACTCTGGTTGTGAAAACCAGTTATCAAGAACAAAGTAAGCAAGCAAAGGAGAAAGGCAGCTAATAAACACTTTAAATATATACGTACATATAAAAATAAATAATCTCTCTCTCTCTCACTGGTCAGAGGAGAAGCGTGTCATCCAATCCTAACTGTAAGAACACAATCTGCTGGGAAGCTGATAGAATCCTGTGTTTGTTCATTAAAATGGGCAGGCTCCCAATCACCTTGTCATCTGGCAGAGTGAAGAGTTGCGGCTGCATAGTCCCCCCTCCCCCCTAGAGAGGAGGTGAACAAAGAAACTTTCATGTTTCTGCATTTTCTTACATGCAGAAACCTCCCTCTCTTGAGTGGTTGCCCCCATTGTGCTGCTTTCATTATCTGCATGGGGGCCGGGCACTCTAGTGTTAAGAGGATACGAAATGCAGAGAGAGCTCTCAAGGACTTAAGGAGACTACTCCCCTCCCATATTTTTGGGATTCCCTTATTTTCCCCCCATTAACTGGTACTCGACTGGCTTGGAACATTCCATGTTTTCTGGAACATGGTGCAGTTCTCATCAGGCCATTTGTCCTCCACTTTTAGTTAATCCACAAACCATGCAATCCTATAGAGAGTTACTCCAGTCTAAGCCCATTGATTTCAGTGGGTTTAGCTGGAGTAACCCTGCATAGGATTGTGCTGTAAGTCGTATCTTTTCTGTTGTGTTTTTTTAGTCCCCTGAATATGTAGAAATTCCCTTCATTTTTGGTGCATGCCCTGGCTTTGTTGCACCCACTTTTAAATATTATTGTCAAAAGCATACATACCAATTTACATTATAAAAACAAATCCTTTCCTGCTAAAATCCTGATTAGGAATGGGCACGAACTGGGCCAAATTCAGTTTTGGGGCCACAAACTAGGCCAAATTCATGATGAATTTTGGCTCATGAGCTGGTTGTGCCCATCCCTAATCCTGATACATATTCACATTTTATTATCAAAGAAGGCCCAGCCTCCACGTATTCACATTTTATTATCAAAGAAGGCCCATCCACATGTTACCTTGTCTTCCTTGCAGCTTTCGAGCTCATGTTCTAGTTCTGCAATCTGCTTATTCAAATGATCTGTTTCTTGATTCTTTTCTTCAAGTAAGGACTTGAGAAACTGGAGAAGAGCCAAGTCACTCTCCCCTGGCCTCTGAATCTTGTTAAATTTTTCATTGTTTTCCTAAAGAAAAGAATTGAACACATTGAACACATGACATTGGCCTAATGTTACTCGGTGATTCCATGACAGTGTGGGAATTTGAACCCAGCTCTCCTAAATCCTATTCCAACACCCTAGCTAGCTAAGATAAACAAGCCAGGATTACAGATCTGGAATGAAAAAAGAAATCAGACCTACTTTCAGGTATGCATTTTCTTCTTGAAGCTGCATTATTTTGGAGACATAGTCTCTTTTTTCCACTTCAATTTTTAAACTAAGGTGCAAGATTTCATCATTTTTGTTTATCAGATCCTCTTCAAATTGTTTAAGTTGCTCTAACAAGTTTGCAACCTAAAACAAAGCAAAAATAAATTGTTTTACAAAACACATCTCTGAAGAAAAATGCTGTCCTACTCTTCTATCAACACAACTGGAAAAATCCACATGTGACCATTTAGACACGCCACTGCCAAAACCCTAACGCCTGAACTAACAATGCAAAAACAATTCCTTAGTAAGAGAAATAAATGGTTTATTTTAAAAAGTCAAGCTAAACAGGAGGTCTAGGTTGTGACAAAAACCTCTAAACTTTAATGTGGCTCAAGACTGCCCCCTAGAGCTTCTAAGATCTTGGACCCCAGGGGTTTACATCAGAATAACCCATTCATTCCCATTTGGACCATCTTGTCAAAATTAATCTCTTTTTAGAGGAAAGGAAAGTAGTTTGGACAGGACCAACTGTGAGTCCTCGAGATTCAGAGTTATTAACAGCTACGTGGTGGGAGGGACTTAGTAATCTTCTGATTGGTAAAGTTAGTCTGCGACATCAGAGGTGGGACTTTACATTGCAGTGGCTAATATCAGCTAGTCACTCTTAGAAAGAAGGCTGTCTTAGGTCAGATTCCATTGTCCATAAATATTTGGGGGGAGGGTTGGCTCTTGCTTCGTCCCACTGGAACCATGTGAATCTGGTGACCACAGGATGGTGGGTAAACAACCTCCCCATCCTGTTACTGCAAAGAACTCTGCTCATGTTTTGTATACAAACTCAGTTAGACCTGTTTTACTGCTTTTGACAGTCTGTGTGCTGTATTACTGAGTGCTTTCCTCCTGTATTTTGTTTTATCCCTTTTTTGAGCCCAACCATACTTTCCCCCCTTCTCTTTTATAAAGAACCCTTTTTTTTTAAAGACTCTTTGTGCTTTGTTTTAGCAGGTTATATTTTCTCTTAATTTCTTCCCTCATATGTGCCGGACTGCACAGACATTGCACAGTTTTCCATACAGTATTCCACAGCGTTTACACCTCACTACTTCTTTATTCACTGTGCTAGAAGGAAACTTTCTTAGTGGGTCAGTCTAGATCAGGGTTCCCCAACAAGATGCCTGTGAGCGCCACGGCACCTGCCGACACCTTTTCTGGCGCCTGCCAAAAGTTTTTAGGAAGTGGGTGGGGCCAGGGAGGGCTTTTGCCCAGCATGGCTTCTGGCTGACTATTTCATTTATTTAAATCTTTGATTTATAGCCCCCCCTCCCTTGCACAGCAGTGCTCAGGGCTGGTAACATCAATACTGGAAATTTGATTGACTGCGCGGATTTTAAAAAAAATGTTGCTTTGGCATCTGCTGCCACTGCATCCCTGCTGCCACAAGGATCTACACTGGATTACTGAAGTTAACCTGTGACAATCATTTCGTGGCTGGCCCCACTTCCTGCAGCAGCCATTTTGTGGCACTCGTTTACTTGCTGCACCCACCATGCTTTGTCAGGATCCCAAATCTGCTCACGGGCTTAAAAAGGTTGGGGGGCCCTGGTCTAGATGTTCTCAGGGGATCAAATGTCCAGTGAAACTTATCACAGAGCATCTATCACCTTTTCTTTACACTTGCATTTCTCTGACCAAGGAAACTATCAGGTGCCCACTCTACAGGGACTCACAGCTCCTCAGCTGCTTAGCAGAAACAAATGCCACAAAACCCCAAAGTTCTAGGAAATCAGTGCGGCCGGCAAAGTATATATCAAAGATATAAAACTCCAAGCATCTGGATATAAAACTACAAAGGCCTCTCAAAGAAGAATTGTAATTTGGAGATTGGAAATTAGCTGAGAGGAGTATCAAAATCTATTTTAATGGGATTGTAATTTAATATTTTGTATTGTTTTTACTGTTTTATTCGGCAATATGCCCTGTAAGCTACCCTGAGCCTCCGGGGAGGGCGGGATAGAAATATGAATAAATAAATAAATAAATAAATACATAAATAAATACATAAATAAATATGAGTTTTTAAGTACAATCTTAAAAAGGAATTTTCAAATTCTAAGTGACAGTCAATACTGTCAATTTCCCCCCCACTGGTCCTTTAATTATTTTTGTTTCAACTTACTTCTGTCTTTTTTATTAGAAGCTCTTCTTGCGCTTTTAACTCTCCCTGTAATATATGATCCATATCTCCTTCTGGAAGCACTCTGTGCCTGATTTCATCCAGTTTGGACTGCAGAGTAGAAATCTGAATCAAATTATTGTACCGCTGCTGCTGCAATGCTTCCTTATCCTATAAAGAGGAATACAAGAATACACAAAAGATTATTCTGCTTAATGACATTTCCCCAAACATGTAGATCAATGGCAGACTGACCTCCTATCCTGATCTTTGCAACTCCGCAATCAAATCTCCATTCATTGATGTGGGGTTGAAGCCAAAGTTCTATTATGGTTCAAATTCAACTATTATACTTTCGATTTTCAGCTAACCATAATTCAATCTGAAATTACACTATTTTCCTGACCATGCATTTTGCACAGCTCTGTAGAGAATTATCAAAGCATTTTTACAAGTATCACCAAGGGCGTAGACTTTCCAATTTTCCGGGGGGGGGAGGGCTGGGCCAGAGGCATTGCTAAGTCATTAAAAGAACTGGGACCCAATGACATCATAGGGAGGAGCTAGTGACATCACAGGCATGGTCATTATCTATGGAGGTGGACCCATGTGGGATTTAGGGATGGGCTCCCCAGAAATTTAGGGAGGCCTGGGAACCGCCCTAGCAATGTCCCTGGGCTGGGCTAACCCCAGGAACAGTTGCCTTCTTAGAACACTGCTTAGAAACTTAGAAAGCCCCCCCCACACCCCACACTGGAATAAGAACATAATATCAGGCCATACCACATTGCAATAAAGCCCCTACAACTTTATACAGAAATACTGAGCTTCCCTACCATTTGCCACAACTAGCCCACCACACAAGAAGAAGAAGAAAAGATAGGATTTACACCCGCCCTTCA